AGTCCATGGTACCCTCAACACTCTTCTCCAGCACCACAGCTCAAAGGCATCAATTCTCCTTCTATCCTCCTTGGTTATTGTCCAACTCTCTGACGCATAACAAGCGATTGCAAAGACCATGGCCTGTATCAGACGCACCTTGGTCTCCAGAGAGACATCGCTGCTTTTCAGTACTTTAGAGAGGTCCCTAACAGCAGAATTTCCCATGGCAATACGTCTTTTAATTTCCTGGCTGCTGGTGCCAAGAGTGTTGACTGTGGAGCCAAGCAGACTAAAGCTGTGAACAATCTCACTTAAAAGATAGGACATCAAAAAGTACATGAGTTCACATAAACCATTTAATGATATTAAAAGTCTGATCACTAAAATCTATTTGTTATTGTTCTTATGTGCCGCCAAGTCGCCTGCAACTCATTGCGACCCTGTGTACAACAGCCCTAAACTCTGCTCTGTCCTGTGCCAATCGCACGGTCTCCGACACACCTACCCCCGTTACCCCAGTCACTGAATGAATCCATCTCATCGAAGGTCTTCCTCTCCTTTGCTGTCCCTCCACCCTCCCAACATGACGTCCCTCTCCAAGGAAATCATAATCTAAATTGGAATAAACAATGACAACTCAAGGAGAAAAACGCTTACTTCCTCAAGTAAGATGATTAAAGGCAAAATCACTTGTAACCTACATATATTTACTTTCCTTACCACCCTTGTGTTCCCTGCCTCCCGCCAGGTGAGCCACAGCAATAATGACAACCTACAGCAGCCTCTGCATAACCCATAGGCCGAAGGTGGCCCAAAAAGTCTACTAAAGATGTTCCAGCTCTAAGAAAAACTGAGAGCCAGGCACAAATTTTGAGAGTTGATCTGGTGAAGGAGCAGAAAGAATTCTGGAAGTAAGGATATAACGTCATGCTGACAATATTTACATATGAAGACTATTATTGGGGGGTGTGTTTGTGTGTGTGCACCATTGAATCAGATCTGACTGGCACAAAAGGAGATCGCCCCTCCTTCTCCAGTGGGGCATCTGGTGGATTGGAACCACACACCTTCAGGATTGCAGTGTAGCTTCTTACCACTAGGCCACCAGAGCTCCCTAGGGCTGACAGTTTCTTTAAAAAGACTTTCTGTCACCACCTTCCTGGGATTATTATGCTATTGATCTGACTAAGAGCAAAATAATAGATTAGAGGTTACTTCCATTCCTTAAAAGGTTTTATGACAGAGTTTATGATATGCTAATTTAAGAGAAAGGCATGCAGTTCGAGGCCACCAGCTGCTCTGTAGAAGGATGGACAATCTCTTCCCGTGCAACTAACCACCTCTGAAAAGTTGCTGGAGGGTCAGCTATGAGTGGGTTCCAACTTGATGGTATGGTACAACAAAAAGAATACAGCCACATAATTAAGAATATGTATGTAGTGCAGAAAAGAAAAATATTTGGGTAATCTTAGGATTTTGAAGGCTCAGTGTTTTTTATAAGATAATGTCCATTAATTTGGACATTAAATGAATGATATTAAATGAATATCTACTCTCTACTGAATGATGGTGACCCAACTGAGTGTGGAAACTACAGAACAGTGTCATTGATTTCACATGCAAGCAAGATTCTACTGAAGAGCATCCAAAAACGATTAGAACAGCACATCAGCAGAGAACTGCCGGAAGTCCAGGCTGGGTTTAGAAGGGGTCGTGGTACTAGCGATATTGTTGCTGATGTTAGATGGATCTTGGCTGAAAGCAGAGAATACCAGAAGAATGTCTATCTGTGTTTCATTGATTATGCAAAGGCATTTGACTGTGTGGATCATAACAAACTGTGGCTGACTCTGAGAAGAATGGGAATCCCAGAACATTTAATTGTGCTAATGAGAAATCTATACTTGGACCAAGAGGCAGTAGTCAGAACAGAGCAGGGTAACACTGCATGGTTCAAAATTGGGAAGGGTGTACGCCAGGGATGCATCCTGTCTCCATACCTTTTCAACATGTATGCAGAGCAGATTATCTGAGAGGCTGGGCTCTATGAGGAGAATTGTGGCATCAGGATTGGTGGAAGATCTATTAACAATCTCCGTTATGCAGATGACACAGCCCTGCTTGCTGAAACTGAGGAGAACCTCATGCACTTGCTGCGAAGGGTCAAGGACTGCAGTCTTCAGTATGGACTAAGGCTCAATGTCAAGAAGACAAAGATTCTCGCCACTGGACCAATTGGAAGCGTCAGGATGGATGACGAAGAGATTGAGAGTGATCACAGCTTCAGTTTGCTCGGCTCCACAGTCAACACTCTTGGCACCAGCAGTCAGGAAATCAAAAAGCGTATCGCGATGGGAAAGTCTGCTGTTAGGGACCCCTCTAAGGTACTGAGGAGCAACAGTGTCTCTCTGGAGACTAAGGTGCGCCTGATACAGGCCATGGTATTTGTAATCGCTTGTTATGCATCAGAGAGTTGGACAATGACTAGGGAGGACAGAAAGAGAGTGGATGCTTTTGAGCTGTGGTGCTGGAGAAGGGTACTGAATGTACCAGGGACTGCCAGGAAAACAAACAGATTCATCTTGGAGAGGATTAAACCAAGCTACTCCTTGGAGGCAAGGATTCTGGGGCTTCGTCTGACATACTTTGGACATGTTGCCAGGAGGGACGGGTCCTTGGAGAGGGACATCATGCTTGGGAGGGTGGAGGGACAGCACAGGAGGGGAAGACCCTCTATGAGATGGATTGAGTCAGTGATTGGGGTAATCGGGATGGGTGTGTCAGAGGCGGTGCGGTTGGCGCAGGATAGAGCAGGGTTTAGGGCTTTTGTGCATAGGGTCGCTATGAGTTAGAAATGACTTGACGGCACATAACAACAACAACAACAACAACAACAACTCTACTGAATAGTGTCACCCCCTCTAAAATCACCAAATGAAAACATTCATGTTTGAATCACCAAATATTCTTCAGATTCATAAAGGAAGTGATCTAATGGGATTGGTTATTCTATAACCTAGTAAGCAAATTCTAGCTGAACACAATGGAATAGACAGAATCTGTTAGGGTTTTTTATATAGTTATCTAAAGCATCACTACAAAATTCCACCACTAAGTGGGAGTTAGTGTTTTAAATTAAATGAAAAAGAACAAAAATGTATCCAAGGCTACACACAGGAAAGGCTTAGAAAACATATAAATATACTGGTTAACTATCAGGCAATGAAAAGCAAGGAGTTTTTTAGAATCAGAAACTAGGGCAAGATGGGTGGCCCACGCTTCTGGGCTGTGGTGGCTGGATAGAACCATCCCTCTCTCCAAAGGACCAAACCACGAGCTTCACTATACGCGCCCTGGGAATACTGACTGATACTCACCATGTAAGGTTTAGGATTTGATGCAGTTTGGTTTACTTGCCAGATACTCAGATAACCCTCTCCATCTGCAACACCACACTGGAAGAAAGATGCAAACAGTTAACACCGCTGGCTAACAGTCCCGTTCATAACGAAAATATTTACAGAAAGGTGAGTCACTCACACTCAACATTCCCACTATAGCTAGGTTTCCATTATTGAGTTCCTAAATTAATGTGCAATAAATTCTCTATCACTGTTAAACTTCTTTTCCACATCCATCTCATTGTTTTCCTCCAACTTTCTGTAAAGAAGTTGGTAAGAAACAAGGTTTCTCTAAATGTTGATTATGCTTATAAGGACCACCAGCACTCTCAAAACACCAGAGTTCTTTACACTCACAAAGTATCTCTTTTTCTTTAAGCTAATGATTAACTATGCTATACTCAATTTTGTAGATTTTAGCTTCTTTTGAGAGAAAAAAAGGGGTCTTTAAATAGTTATGAAAACACTGCCTGTTTAATTTAAGTTGAGGTCTGCTGAAACCATTTACTCATAAACATTCACATTTTCTGGAGACAGGGTTGTTTCATTTTGCACTATTTTTTTGGTTGAGTTTAGAATAACCTCCAAGAACTAACCTTGTTGCCTTGTGAATTGAAATATAGTCTGGTAACTCTTGCATTGCCTGCCTGGCGGAAGCACACCAGCTGCTGAGGTCGAGACCATTCAAACATCCGTACGCTGCCATCCTGAGCTCCAGTAAGATCTGAAACACAAAAGGAAAGGGAGAAAGTAAAGACACCAAAATGTTAAAGAGTTCCAGTATTTTCAAGAAGACAGAGCTACTTACTTCTCTCGGATTATAAATGAAATACTTACAGTACTGATGGACTGGGTGTGAGGTCATTCTCTTAACATTATGCAGATTTCTTTTCATAAGCTTTAAAAGAAGATAAAAGGAAGAGATAAAGAAGGCTATGCTTCAACTAAACTAACTAAGATGCATTTATTCTCTTACAACTTATTACTGAAATAAACCCTGTCGTGGAATTTCTGAGCCACCCAAAGAATACCAGTGTGTCAGGCTGAAGAAATATGTCACTTAGTAATGCAGCCCTGGTCTATGTGAACTGTGAGGTTCCATCAAGGGGCTTCATCTACTGGTAAATGGAACTCTCCTCCAAGTGCCCCTCTCTGAGGACAATCCAGAGTGGCTCCAGATTCTTCAGAACAGAACATGAGAATGGGACTTCCTCAACTCCAAGGACTAACAAGAATGTTAGTGTTGAATTTCTTAAATATTTCTTTACTACGGTAAATATTCTTGGAAGCAGAAACACAAGTGTTGAGGATTTCCTTCATAGGGTCGCTATGAGTCAGTCGCCTGCGACTCGATGGCACTTAACAACAAATAGTAAATATTCTTTTGTATCTCAGTTTGCCTGTCTCTAGAATGGTAACTATTAATAGCATCTGCCCATCTTGGGTTGTTATGAGAAAACATGTGCTTGGCACAAACTTTCAATAAATGCTGGCCATGAAAAGCCATAACAGGGTCAGCTATGGGTCGGTTCCCACTTGATGGTAAGTACACCACCACCACAACAGTATCATTATAGAGAGCCGTGGGGTCTTGCCAGAGCTTACAGGGAGTCATACTTCCAACCCAAAGGTGGCATCCATCCACCACTCGGAATCCACCCATAGATCCACGGGAGAGGGATGGGAAATTTCCTCCTGTGCAGTTTATAGTCTTGGAAAACCTACTGGAGCGTCAGTTCTCACTTAAATGCAATGGGATTTTTTTTGTCTGAGTATCATCTTAGTGTATGTACTTGCCACTGCCCTTGATCTTCAAGGTCATTCCGATATCAAAGTGATTTCAACTTATTTTTTTGAGAGATTCCACATTCCAAAAGTACACCTGATCAGTAACTAACATACCACACTAGCTCCAGTGCTGGTCTGCCCACTGCCCAGCCACGGCATAGACGAAGGTGGGTGCACCTGAGTTGCTGAATAGGACGTTGCAGTGGGTTGATAAAGAGTTGTGGTGGAACCACGATAATCGATATCATCTGAACTGTGAAAAACAATCATGTGTTACTGCTGAAGTTCTGTGTTCCTCCTAAAAATTCCAACTACAAAGCTTCTCATCAGACTACTCATTATTAAAAACCCTGAATCAACAGTCATCAATAATCTTTGACACAGTTCTAATTAGAGACAACTTCAACAGTGTTTTCTATATCCATAACTTTTTTACTTTAACAAACTATAATTTTAGTCTACTGCTATTCAGGGCAATTTATTACTGTACAAGGTGGTGGGGGAAAATGCTTCTTTTTAAGTGTTTAGCTTAGATTTTTCTTTTTTTAATCATACATACAAAAAGACTTTATGTTCTCTTCAAAACACAAATATCTCTTGTAACAAATTAGTACATTTTCTATAAGTTCAAGTTTAAATATTTCTTAGAGTAGGGGACTAAAGAATAATTTGCTAGCACTTAAAAATAGAAAAGTAATGTTTATAACATATTGTGCTACATGGTTACATCTCCCTGGAAATGAGATTTTGTCGTTATGTTAGTGGAAGTTCCAGTGGTCTAGTGGGTAAGGAGTTGCGCTGCCAACTCAAAAACAAGTGGCTCAAATCCACCAACAGCTCCACAGGAGACATATGGGCAATCTCCTCCCATGGAATTTACAGCCTCTGAAAACTTGCAGGAGGATCAGCTATGATCCCTGCTTGTTGATTGTATGTAACAACAGGAAGTTACATTTACGCGAACAAAAGACAGAACTCAGCACTCTCTGAAGTGATCTAGGCACCATTTCCAGGTACATAAAACTACTAAGAGTCTAGCTTCACTGCAATCCCAGAGGTAAGCGGTTCAAATCCACCAGATGCTCCGCTGGAGAAGGAGGGTAAATCTCCTCCTGTACCAGTCAGATCCGATTTGACAATACACGCACAACAAATAATATTAATAAAAAAAAATTAAAAATTAAAAAAAAAAACCTACTAAGAGTCTAGAGAAAAGCAAGAGGGAGGGAGAACATGGAGGAGAAACTCCAGAAAATCAAAGTGTGGCAAAGCACTGTTGGTGCAGTGTCTATAGCTTTACTGAATAGTAAAGAAGTACTCATTTTTATCTGTAAAAAAGATATGTAGATGAAGTGGTAATCAAGACATGACTCAATCCATGTAACTAATCTACTTACATATTATTTTTTGCTTTAATTAAAAAGAACAACTAATTTTACTGAATATTGTGTCATTCCTAATATTTCTTTGCTTTAATGTGGCACTGGGCTTTGGTGTTAGGGATTATTCTGATTCAAGTACTATGAGCAGTTCAGAGTCTAAAGAAAGAAGTGTGAGTCATTCGCTCATCAATGTAAGCAAATTCTGTTTGAATCTACGAGCAGCTTTACGGGAAAAAGATGGGCAATCTTCTTCCCTATAGTCTACAGCCTTGGAAATCCAGTGGAGACTCAGCTGTGGGTCAGTCCTGACTCCACAGCAAGGAGTTGCTACTGTTTTTCAAACCAATCAAGGCTTTTCCCTACCCAAGATAGAAAGAGAGAATATTCTTTCCAACAGATTTTCTATCAGGTGCACAACCACTTAACTGGCTCTCTTATGAGAAAACTACACTTTAAATTGACTGCTTAAGGAAAAATAACCTTTTTGATTCTCTGTCATATTCTTCTCCAATCCATATGTATGGCTGACAGGCCAACAGAGAAGTGACATCAAGTTCTTGGACATCATGTGTTGAAGCCAAGACAATTTCATTAGAATTTGCCTGTAAAGCAAAGGCAGAGTAAAAAATGCAACCAATTTCACACATTTAAAAAAAAAAGCATTCTCTATATGATGACTAAAAGCTTTTACCTTATTAACTGAAAATGCCATGATCATATCTGATTCCTTATGAATTACTTTTGCCTTTCCACCAGGATAGCCCAGATCAGCTTCAACCTAGAAAACATTTGTCAGCAATTTTAGTTGCTGCAATAGAACTCTATATATGTAGTCCTACCAAATTTAAGCTAAAGAAGAAAAAAATAGCAGCAAGGAAAAGGTGTGAGCCATTTTTGTAGGTTGAAAATTAGTTTCTGAAAATCTGCTTAAATTCTGATTCCTTGTAGCCATCCCAATTATAAAGATTTCACATTGTGGTTACAAGATATTGACTGTTACAAATGAGAGCCAAAATAGTTCTCATTAGTAATTTAAAACAGCAATGTCTCTTTTTACCTCCTGCGAAAGTGAGCAAAGATACAGATACTACAGTAAGAATATGTATATAATAAAAGACACAGAGTTGGGGAATAAACTACAGAATCAGAAAGACAAAGGAGCAACACTGAAAAGGATAAATATGAAACCATTTTAAATTAAAATGCAAGATAAGAATAAAGAGATTTTGTGAATGGAAATCCAAAACCTCTGTAAATGTCTATTAAAATTAATTAAAAAATTAAAAAAAAAGAATAAAGAGATTTTGGAAGAATAGTTAGAAAAGGAAGAGGGAGGTAGATGAGAGAAAGGTGCAGTAACTTAGGACAGATGAGAAGGGAAGAAGATAAAGAATCAAAGATGAAAGTTAAACCAACAGTGTATAAGAAAATTAGAATGAAGAGAGAACAAGGAACAAGAAAACAAGAAACCACAACAAGGAAGAGAGAGCTAGAGACAATGGAGCATCTCCCCCGTGCCGTGGAGGCAGACTCATGGCAGACGGGAGCAGGAGTACTCTGATTAGTTAGCCGCGGGGCAGCTCATGGTTAGTATTAGAGACGAAAGGTTAGCTCCTTGAACTCTAGAGAACGAACTAAATGCAAAGACGTGGTATACTACCTTGAGGTGGGAATCTTCTGCTATGGAGTTTTGTCTGACCTGCTCCACATGTTCTTCTACAGACTAACACCACACAGTCACAAACACAAAACACATGCATGAAATGAAATCACAGAGAAAATGAAAACTTCCCAGCTAAAACAGACATGTCATCACTTAAAGATGGCACAAATGAATCTTTTCTTTTGAAAAGTACAAACTCAAGGAAAATGAAATTTAATAAAATGGGATGTCATCAGATAAACACAACAGAAAGCACTGAGGTAAAAATTAAAGTTATGATCATCGCATGCATGCAAAAACATAAAGGCTACTTCAAAATGAAAAGTCACAATTTGTACAACAGCCACATAAAGTTTAAACTTAAAACATAATTTTGAAAACACTTTTGTATGAAATAGATGCACTTTATATTACATATATTCCTATCCTACAGGGATGTATTTAAAATACAAGTTAATATTACTTATTTATGGTTACAGATTAAAAGTACTGATAATTATTTTACTAATATTCATAAAGAAATATAATGAAGAGAGTGTCTGGGATTAGAATCTAAGTCAACCATTTTTTTAAAATAGCACAATTTTTCTCTTTATAATAGGGAAATACTTGATAAATTAGGCATAGCAAAGAAATTATACAAATAACTTATGCCTGGTTATTTATAGAATCTTAAGGAATGGGTACAGTCAGAATATAGTGAAAGAATGGTAAATACATGGAATGGCTAATTAATAAAATGCAAATTGCTAAAATCTACTTCTAAGCAATTAGCTGAGTCTACCAATTTTACCAATTTAACAAAAATCTGTTTTGTGCAATTTCCTTTAATACATCCACTAGATAAAAATATCTTCTTAGGAATACATTGAAAAATCCCAGAATTTCCCAGGGGAATTTTCTTTTTTAAAGTTTGGGGTGTTTTTTTTTTTTTAATTAAACAACATACTAGCATTTTTAGGGATGTTATAGTTGTTGTGTACCATAGAGTCAGAACCAACCCACAGCAGACGACTCTCTGGTGGGTTTTCAGAGGCAGCTAATTGCATGGGAGGAGATTTCCCATTCCTCTCCCGCAGAGCAGCTGGTGGCCTTTGAATGACAGTGCAGCTTCTTACCATCAGGCCACAAGAGCAGTGTACCAATTAATTATTTTAAAAATATAAAAAAACTCTCACTAGATGGAATAGTTTTCACATTATATGTTAGTGAGCTTAATAATATTTTTTTTATTCTTCACAACTTTTTTCTTTCATTATTACTTTAAAATTAAAAAAAAATTTGTCATATCAGCCAAGTTCAATACAGTAGGCATTAATCATACGTGGTTATTTAAATGTATAATTTTTCCAAATTTAAAATTTAACTCCTTAGTCACTTGCTCTGACTGAAATGTGCCATCAAGTCAATTGTGACTCATGGGGACCCTACATCCAGTAGAAGAAACACTGCCCAGTTTATCACCATCCTTACAATAATTGCTACACCTGAGTCCACAAGTCTCTTCTGATTTCTATTCTGATATGTTCTTTCCTTTCATTTGATGATATTTTGCTTTCTCTGTGTATGATATCCTCGACACCATACCACAGCTTGTGTGATCTTCCATCATTAATGTTCAATAGATCAAATCTATTAAGATGGTCTCTAAATTCAGGTGAGATATACCCAAGGTCACACTTTGGCTCTCATGAAGTTGTTTTCATTTTCTTCAACCTCGACTTGAACTTATATCAAAGAACTCATTGACATTGAGCTGATTTTTATTCCCAGGACAAAACAGACCTTCTCATTGTTACAGATGTAACAATGTGAATCTCTATGGCAGCAGACTGACATATATTCCTTCAACAGAGCAGCTAGTGGATTCAAACAGTCAACTTTTAGTTAGCAATCCATGTGCTACCAGGGGCACACTTCCTAATCCTAAACCATACACTACACCCTTGTTTTGTTCAAATGACTGCCTCTGTTCTAAGTACAGACTCCACAATTTGAACTCGCATTCTGCTTGATGATACTGAACTTCTTTGTCACCATCTCTTTCCATATTTGTAGTGTGTATTCCATATGATTCCAGTGCATTCCATATAGTGAGGGCTGTGTACACCGTCACTGTTTATGTATCTGTAGTTGGTCTTGTGAAATTCTACCATGTCTTATTAGCACTGTTCTATCATCACAGCCATATTCCCACTACTGATCATGTTTTCAACTTTCACATTTCAAATTCCAATTACCAGGAAGCAGTAATGCATCTTTTTAAAAAACTATCAATACATCCTGATTGCATGTTCATTCAATCTCAGATTGCAGAAATCATCTTTAAAAATCTTCAATTTCTTCATCTTTTGCCTTAGTAGTTTGTGCATAAATCTAAATAACAGTTGTATCATCTAGACTTCCTTGTAGGTCTATGTGTATTATTCTATCACTGACAGCATTGTATTTCAGGGCTGATACAGAAACACTCTTCTTAGAGATGAATATTACGCCTTTTCTCATCATTAGTTCACTCCCAAATAGTAGATTATACGATTGTCTGACTTAAAAGGGCCAATACCAAGCCATTTCAGCTCACTTACACCAAGGATATCCGTCTTCAGGTATTTGCCTTCAACAACTTCCAATTTTCCTAGATTCATACATCATACATTGCCCATTAATAGGTAGTTGCAGCGGTTTCTTCTCACATATTTTGAATGTTTTCCAATAAGAGGGGCACATGTTCCAACACCGCATCAAACAATTCCTCTGCAACTTAGAAAATTTATACTGGTCAATTTTTTCAGAAGTAGATCTTGAGGTCCTTCTTTCTAGCTTGTCTTAGTCTGGAAACTCTTCTGAAACTTGTCCACCACAGGTGGCCCTAGTGGTATTTGGAATACCAATGGCGTAACTTTCAGCATCACAGCAACAAGCAAAGATCTCAGTATGACAAATTGACACACAAGGAGTAGTCCTTAGATATACTGGCCACATTTCAAATGTTCAATATATGCTGCTTGTTGTTGCTGTTAGGGGCCGTCCATTTGAGTATGACTCATAGCAACATGAACAACAGATCCGAACTCTGTCCTATCCTGTGCTGCTCTCATCATATCTGACACATTATATCCTACTGCTACAGGCACTGTGCCAATCCACCTCATTGGAGGTCCTTCTCTCTTTCACTGATTCTCTACCTTTCCAAGCATGATGTCCATCTCCGAGGAATGGCCTCTCCTAGTAACATGTCCAAGGTATGAGAGATGCGGCTTCACCACCTTTTCTTCCAAGGAGTACTCTGGTTGTACTTTCTCTGAGACATAGCTGTTCAATCTTTAGTATTCATGTGCAAGTTCAAATTGAGACTGAAGGAAATGAAAACTAGTCTATAAGAACCAAAATATGACCTTGAGTCTATCTCACCTGAATTTATAAATAATCTCAAGAACATATTTGAGACATTAAATGCCAATGATCAAAGACTAGAGGAGTTGTAGGATTACATCAAGAATATCACCCAGGAAAAGAACAAAAAGTCATAACAGAGACAGAGGAGAAAGAAAAAGCCAAAATACATGTCAGAAGAGACTGAAAAATTGCATGAGGATCAAGAAGACAAAACAAACGGAAAAGATGCTTAAGAAAATGAGCTGAACAGATTTCAAAGGGCAGCTCAAGAAGACAAGGCAAAATATTACAATGAAATGTGCAAAGAGCTGGAGTCAGAGAATAAAAAAATTAATAACTCACTAGACATTTCTAAAGCTAGAAGAACTTAAAACAGATTCAAGCCTCACACTGTATACTCAGAGATGCGATAAGCAAAATTTTGAATGATCCAGGAAGAAAATGGAAGGAATACACAGAGTCACTGTACCAAAAAGAATTGGTCATCACTGAAAAATTTCAGGAAGTACCAAATGAACAAGAGTCAATGGTAATAAAGGAAGACATTTAACCTGCATTGAAAGCACTGGAAAAAAATAAGACCCCAGGAATTCATGGGATACCAACTGACATGTTTCAATTAACAAATGCAAACTTGGACAAGCTCACCAGCATATACCAGGCAATTTGGAGGACAGCTTCAGGGCTGATTGACTTGAAGAGATCCATATTTATTCCCATCCCCAAGAAAGGTGAACCAAAAGAATATGGAAATTATCAGGCAATATCGTTAACATTACATTCAAGCAAAATATTGCTGAACCATCAAAAAACAGCTAGAACCGTACATGGATGTAGAACTACCAGAAGTTCAAGATGGGTTTAGAAGAGGTCATGGCACCAGGGATATTACTGATGATCTCAGATGGCTCCTGGCTGAAAGCAGAAAATACCAGAAGAATGTTTATTTGTGTTATGTTGACTATGCAAAGGCATTTAATTGTGTGGCTATTAACACATTATGGCTAACACTGAGAAGAACGGGAATCCCAGAACACTTACTTGTGCTCATGCTAAATCTACACCTAGACCAAGAAGCTGCTGGCTAAGCAGAGTAAGGGACTACTGCATGGTTTAAAATCAGGAAAGGTGTGTGACAGCATGTACCCTTTCTCCATACCTATTCAAAACCTATGCTGAGCAAATAATCTGTGAAGCTGAACTCTATGAAGAGGAATGTGGAATCAGGATTAGAGGAAGACTCATCAACAACTTTCCGACAAAACCTTGCTTGCTGAAAGTGAGAATTTTAAATACTCACTGAAGATCATGGACCTTCCATATGAATTCCATCAGGAAGACAAAAAAAAAATTTCCACCACTGGGCTAATAGGCAACATAATGATAGATGGAGAAAGGACTGAAGTTGCCACTGATTTCATCTTGCTTGGATCTACAATCAACACCCTTGGAACATATTGAGCAGATTCAGCAGCAGGAAAAGGAGAAACCTCAGCACCAGCAAGAACTGAGAGAATGTAATGAATCCTTCAGGACCAGAGTTTGTTTTCCTTCTCCTTTTTAAAATTTTCTACTAGTTTATTTACAAAATTGGACACACCATTTTCAAGAACAAAGTCTTCCAATTTCCCTCACCACCCCCTCATCAAATTGTACAACCCCATGATTAATCTCAC